CGATGATGATGTTGGCAAAGTAACCCCAAAAGGAGATTGGGAAAAGTCCGAGTATCCGAGTATCCGAATAGAGGGGGTCGGGCTAACCGCCAGGGCAAACAGAAAGTGGTGGTTGATGCTGTCTTCCTGTTTCCGAAACTCAAATAAAACGTTTCGCTTTAATTAATAAATAGCAAAGACAATGGAATCATAATTCGACAAAAGGTTTTGATTATGCAGAAAGGAAACACACAAAAACAAACACAAACAGTGAAACACTGAAGTGCCCAAAAAACGACAAACTGCAACAAATTAATCAACTTCTGTCCGGACGGACAGTAGGTTACGGTCACTGGTCAGTGGTGGGTTCTTCATTTGCATAACATCAAATGCATTTGCCCGTGGGGTTTGTTTGTTTGTGCGCAATCATAAATTTCGGCTTAAGTCCTCAAAGTACCATGCTCTGCCTAAGCTTGACCTTTGACTTTTCACCCATTTATGTGTGTGTGTGTGTGTGTGTGTGTGTGTGTGCTTCCCTTTCGCCGAGTTATGTAAATGAAAGCAACGAAAGTCTTTGTCTTAGGCCTTTAAGTCATTACTTGCTTTATTTATTATGCATTGAAGTTGTGTCATGAGCAGGTCCGTCTGCCTTCGAAGAAGTCAAAATAACTATTTATAATATGAGACCGCAAAGCACGCAAATTCAACCAAACGAAATAGTCCGTTTAATTAAGAACCCTGCTGCGGAAATAATACTTTAAGTGGACAGTTGTGGCCCGTCGTCGAATGCTCTCGAATAGCTGACAATCGGCACGTGATGAGCCTGCGAAAACAGCCCTTGTCTAGTAGTCTCATAGTCCGTAGTCCGCAGTCCGTAGTCCGATTTACGTAGCTCCAGGACTCGAGCCGTGATTTAAAAATAATTAAACACGTACAGCGAATAACTGTAATTTCCAGGCGGAGGGCACAGCGCATTTTTAAAATTAACATTTTTATTTATTTGAAATCAACGCGTCGGCTCATTGAGCTGACACTCAACATGTCGCGCTTCCTTTCTCGCCGGAGTTGAGGTGCCCGGAATCGAGGAGAAGCAGGTGGATGATTACGATGGGCGGCACGGAATCGCATCAAGTGCCCTTCTGGGACACCGGTCAAATCGCTAACGGCACTTGCAATTATTTACATACCCGCATATTGAGCTGGCTAGCGGATTACATTTGTGAATGGTTTTTGAGCGGATTTCCAATCCATCTGACACCGCAACGATTCGTTTGTCGATTCGATTCAGACAAAATCCTGCCACAAAACTGGGATTTGCCGGTAGCATCCCCCACTCATATTCTACGCTTTTAGTGTTGACAGATGCAAATGGGAAAAACTGACGAAACACACACCATTAACATCATGCGAGTATTGGAACTCACATAAAAGCTTTTTTTTAAGAAACGTTATAGGTTTTTATCAAAAAGACTGATCGATTGAACTTTAAATGCTTGTATGCAAACTTTTTATAAGCGAAAATAAAACATTTTTATGGTTTCAAGTTATTGTTAACCATGCAATAACATTTTAAATCATGAATTTTCCAACAGCTTAAATTTATTTTTCCAATATAAATAGTTATCAATATTTCGGTTTTTTTGCGTGGAAGTATTTTTTAAATTGGGAACCTTTTTTATCAGTAAAATTGATTTTGCAAGGTAACTAAGACAATATTTTTTTTAATATTATAATACTTAAAATTTATAGATATATATATGCTTTTTAAATAAAACACTTTTAAATAGTTCCTCATATAAAAACAGCATTCAATTCCAAATGAATGCCAGTAAGCAATGGAAAAAGCTAAACTGTTGGAACTGCTCTCAGGGGTTAGAAGTGCCCAAAGGACTGCTACTCGAATGTCGAACGGGCGTGCAACAGTTTGCTCGGCGATCCGACCCGTCGAGACGGGAGATGTGCCCACGCCCACGCCCTCGCCCACCTATCCCCTCGTGGATGCAGTGCTTCCGGAGTCCGGAACGCGCACGGACCATTGTGCTCGGCTTAAGCGAAACGGCTTTCATTTACATCAATGCTCCTGCTGTGGTCTCCTCACCGGAAGTGTCTCATTGACCATCCATCCGGCTGCATGCGCTGTCACGCCTCACGTCGTCTTTGCCCCGCCCATGTGTGAGGCTTGTTTTGACCCTCTTCCTGCCCGGACTCACTCCGTCCAGTCCTCCATTTGTATTTGTCTGGCTGGGCGGCGGTGGCGGGGCCACCCCTTCCGCTGCCACCCCTTCGACTAACGCATTAATCCTTGCTTTGATTTAGGACCAATGAGTGTGAGATCCCAGTGGCAGGCCATGCAATGCACATTGGGGCCCCTCAGTCGCATTAGCTCGGATCTCTTGGTACTCATAAGAGTACGACATGATGTCTGACCAGTCGAATGAACTCTCCGGGTCTCAGCACTGGGCCTAATTCGAATCGACAGTCAGCCGCAGTCTATTCTGCAGCCACAGAGTGTCCTGGCCTGGCCCACATGTCCCCGATTGGCAGCTGATTTAACTTGCATTAGACTGATTAAACGATGCTTTGCGGCGGCTTCTCTTTTCTTCGATTAGCAAATCTTGGAATCGGAAAGGATACATACCTTGTAAAATCTAATTGACTTGTCATAACTTTGTGCAAAAACAAGATCAACTTCTGATATGCCTTGTTTTAAACAAGTCCAATTTTTAAATTATAATATAAAACTTTTCACCTGAATCACGATTCTGCAAAGCTGTTGTAAGTAAATTTTAAAAATTTAACGCCAGAGTAACAAACTCAAAAATCCGATTTTAAAGGGTGAAATTAAATGTTTTAAAGTGGAAAAGAAAGACAAATTTTTTGGCTAACCGTGTGCGACCTTTTGCGACCTATTATTTTTTTGCAAATTTGTTTCTTGGAAATTTGAAATGTGCAAATGCAGATTAATAGGGAATAAAATAGCAAGTTTTAAGAAATTTTAAAGGCTAAATAAAAAGCTCAAATGTGAAGAGGAAAGCCATTGGTTAAGCATGTGCAACTCGCTCCCTTTTATCATTGCTTAAGGGTAATTGCAACTGCCGCTATAGGAAACGGAAACCATGCAGCCTTTCACTGGCCATCCCTGGCTTTTAAGTCCATCCCCAGCCGGCATGTCTAAGCGGGTGGCCCATGGAGCTGTCCCAGCTTGCAGAGTTGGCTTCATTTCCCCATTGAACGCTCTTCAGCCCCAGGAGCTGATTCAGCTGTTCATCGCATCCTTTGCGTGTCCTGCCACTTCGGCACGTTTGCCAGCCAATCCAACGGAGCCGTGGGTCAATGTTAATGCTGCCCCATCAGGAGTTGCCCCACCGGTGCTCTCGGCGGTAGCAGCTCACCATTAAGCACGCCGTTCCTTTGAGCCGGCTGTCCATCGCGGGACACCGCTGAGAGTGATAAAAGAGCTGCACCCCCAACCTTCCCGCTACACAGAAATTAAAAACACATAAATGCATCTTGAAGAAAAATTAGATTTCTACTGTCTGATATTAAAAGAAAATATTTTGATGTGCATTGGCTTGAAAAGCAATTGAAAAATGCATTTGTTTTTAAAGCTTTTCTTAGTTTGTTTTCAATTAGAATAAAAAAATACTGTTTATCAAAGAAAAACAAAACGCCTTGTTTTATTTTTGCTTTAAATTGGTTTTAAAGATTTATGTGATGGAAACTTGGGTAATAAATTAAGAAAATATGAATTATTTTGTTGCTGTGTATGAAGCTGTCCGCTGCTAAACGCAGAGGGTCCGGTATCTGGCATAATGATGGCCATCGGCGGGATGCGAGCCGGCTCATCCGCAGAGTATCTCCGGCTGGTTGGCTGGCTGAGTGGCAATTGCTGTTGACATGCCTTTCATTTTAGGCGACAGAGCTTCCTGCGAGGCCAATTTAACCCGGCTCAAAAGCATTTGTCAAGGTAAGAATCGACGCAGAATCGATCGAGCTTAACCATCTCCAAGTTTTACTACCTCGAAAATGGCGGTGAGGTTTTGAAATTCAATACAAAAGATTATTTTGTTTAAGAATCAAAAATTTAAGATTAAATTTTACTTTTACATAAATTACCTTAGGACCGCACACTTCAAATCATAAATCAACAGAAATTGTCATTTTTGTATTTATTGCCAAATATTTGTTTTAAACAAGTGCAATTTCAAGTGTGTTTATAGCATAAATTTATATTGGAACGACACAAAATTAGCATTTAAATAAATTAGATCAGCTAAAAACAATTTATTGCTTATGAATGATTGAAATGATGAGCTTAAAATAAATGGTGTTCAAAGGTATTTTGATTTTAATAATTTTGTACGTTTCTCTTAAATGGAGTCTTCAATTTTAACACTTTCTTGCAATGTTGCTTGGTTGGCTCAATTGGCATGATAGCATCGCTCGGTTCCTTCCACGGAAGTCAATGGCCGCCAGGACCCTGGCCAAAAGTATTGAAGAGGGGTTGGACGGCAGACGGCGTCGCCGTTTTTATGAGATGTCAAAAACCAGTGAAATTGTCCTTGTCCCATGAAATATAAATGGCAGACGAAATTGTATTTCGGCTGCAACTCAACATTCAGGCAATTGCTTGTGGCGACGTCTTCGCATCTTATGCCACAGAAGCGGAAATGATAATGCAGTTGACGTGCATCGGCCAGGAGGAATGGCAAATGCTGTTTGCCACGAAACTCTTCTGGTGGCCGTGGCTGCGGGCCATTCAATCTCAATCACAGTTGCACTTGCAGTTGGCCCAGTTTATGCAAGTGTGTCAGTTTATGCGAGCAAATAAATTTCATCTCACAATTTATGGACTTTTGTTTGGCATCGATGGCTCGCGCCGATGGCTGAATGGCAAAGCTGGGGTGCCAAAAGCTGGCCCTGTCTCCAGTTTCTGAGCTTCTGAGCAGCAGCAGCAGCAGCAACCAGTTTGGCGGCTCAAAAGCTCCGCGCATGAGGTAAGCGGAGCGATCGATCCGCATACCGCTCACAGAATCGAGCTTGAACACTTGGCGAACGGTCGACCAGCGGACCGAGCGAGAAATAAAGACAGCGTCAGAAATAAAGACAGAGCGAAAGAGAGAGAGAGAGAGAGAGAGAGACAGCCAGAGAGACAGTGAAAGAGAGAGCAACAAGTTTGCCAGTGGAAATTTTAGTAACGAAATGCAGTGAATACCCGTCCAGTGAATGCAAAAAACTGGCTTAAAAACAGCCAATAAACCAATCTTAAAAAACAACAACAATCACAAAACAAAAAAATCGAAACTCGAAACTATTCAAAAGCTCATTATGAACACAAAGGCCGAGCCAGTGAAACAAAACGCTGAGTGAATCTAGTTGAATATTTCGAAGAGACAGAAACAAAATCAAAATTAAAACCAAAACAGCAACAAGTGAAAGAGCCAGAAAGAGACGGCCAGACCGGGAGGCCGCGAGTGAGAACGAGACAGGCGAGACGAGACTTTCGCATCCGAGGTTGATTTTTGCATGCCGAGAGATACAGCTACAACTATAGCTACAGCTACAGCTACAGCTACAGTAGCTAGAGCCTGAGAAATATCTGCAAATACCAATTCTTTGTTATTGCTGAGACAGCCAGTCAGCCAGTCAGGCAGTCAGGCAGTCAGAAATGGAGTACGAGAAAATGATGTATATGCCAGGCGGTGAGGTAAGTCGAGCACATCGAGCATCTTGGCGATAATGTATCTGTATCTGCTTGAAAACATGGCTGTAGCGCAACTACAGCGCCGATAGTTGATAACCTTTTGCCCGCCATTATCATCGGCCAGTGAAGTCGGAATTGGAATGGGAATTGAAATCGGAATCAGTATCTGTATATTATGCGCAGTTCGTTGCGGCAGGAAAGCTGCGGCTATTTTAATTAGCAGCGCATCTCGTGTAGGCGGCAGAAGTATCTTGCAGTTTGCAGCTCACATCTTGCAGCTCGCGAATGCGTGTCACTGGGTGAGAGTAGCTCCCATCCACTTTTGTCTTATGGCATTTCGCTTTAATTACAATAACAGCAATAGCAATAGCAATGGCAATTGCAATAGCAATCGCAACCAACGATGGCAGCAACTTTCAAAAGATGCTTTCATTTTGCAAGAAGTGATTCTAAATGATTGTCAACTATGGCATGACAACAAACAGTGCCACAAACGCCGAGTAAGAGCTGCCATGTCGGCCGGCCTGAACTGGCATTTCACTCGGAAAGTGCATTCCAATCCAGCAGATACTTTTTGTTGGACCTACTTAGGCCCCATAGGCGATGTGCGCAAGTCTTTGACGTTTGTCGCTGCTGCCCCAGCATTGCAATAGAAGAAAACACATGAGCAGCAGCAGAAGCAGAAGCAGTAGCAGCAGCAGTAGAAGCAGAAGCGACGCGGTTAAAATGAGGGAGAAAAAAACTTGTATTTACCATTTTTGATTGATTTGATGGAAATGTGTCTCCGCGCTTTTCCAATCGCTGACACAGAAGCAGACGGCTTGCAACACCGCTTAGAAATGCACTGCAAGATGGCAAGATTGTAAGACTGCATGACTGAAAGACTGCCTGCCTGACTGACTGACTGACTGCCTGCGGCAGCCACACTCATGTCTCATTATATTTATGGACATAATAAAATAAATACTACTGCCAACAATTATAAATGCAAGCCGCTTTCGCAGCTCAGCCACGCTAAGCCGAGACGAGTCGAGTCGAGTCGAGTTGAGTCTAGTTGAGTTAAAGAAAACTCGACATGACATAAATACTTCAACTTGTCAGGTTTTCTTTCCCTCAGCGACAGGCCTTTCCATCGAGAATCCATCGAGAGTGGCATTTCTAAGTTTGCACCGACAAGGGCCCTATCCAATTCTATCCAGAACGGCTGGTTATCAATCAAAACGATTATACAATAATAATCACTTTTTGGGTGTGGTTCCCTTCTCGGGCATTGTTATGGCCACAATGCACTCAGCCAAATTAGCTTCTCAAGTCTTGTAAAATATCTTCAGTGTGCTATCCTCGTTTGTTCAATTTTATTATATGAGAAAGCAAATACCGCAATTTGAGAACATATTTTCTTTTATTTTTTACTTTTACGAGATCACATCATAGTTTTGAATACCTTAAACCAAATTTATATTATTTCCGAATACTCATACCTTCCATTATATTATATAAATTATTTGATGTATATTAATTTTAAATGCATTTATTTTCTTTCAGTACTGACTTCATGGTAAAGCCATAACCTTTTATTGTAGAATTTTCTGAGTGTAAGGCTAAATTATGGCCACGGCAGCCTGTGGTATCGGGTCTTGTCTTGTGGCTTCAGCATTGAATCTCGCCTGGCTTTTATGCAAATTGAAATGAGTTGGCTTCGCATCGTCTTTTATACGGAATAATTGTCAGTGCGTGCAGTGCATAATGAGTGCAGAAGGGATTGGGTTTGCAGGGCTCGGTGCCTAGACATAAGCGCATTCCTGGCCATTCCTATCCCTATTCCTATTCCTGTCGAGAGTGTGGGATGGGCCGAGAGTCCAGGGTCCCAGCCGTGTCATTCAGGCGGTGGTTGGATGGGTGTGGGTGTGTGTCTGGCCTGTCCATCAGGAAAGTGTCCAAATAGTTAGCAGCTCTTGAGCTCTTGAGTAAGTGGCCAATCAAAGCAGGGGCGTTAATTAATTTCGGTTAGTTTCCAGTGGCTTTCCCAGCGACAAGCCGGAACATACGCATTCTGAGTCGTTGCAGTTGTAAAGACACTTGGCACATTAAGCGGACTACAAAGAATTCAGCATTGCAGCATAATTGAAATGTTGCACCCATTTGAGATATTTATTAACTTCGCCGCCAGCCATTTATCTAGCATGAAATGTCGACAATTAAATGCAATGCAAATAGCGAAGAATGGCGGGAACTGCATACAGAGTTCGCCCCGTCACGAAATGGCTACAGATACTCGTTTAAAAACAAAAAAGCCAGAGATACAAAGATACAGATACAGATACAAAGAATAATGAGTGAAACAAACAGAAGGCAGGCAGGCAGTCAGGCAGGCAGTCAGGCAGGCAGTCAGGCAGGCAGTCAGTCAGTCGGGCGATGTAAAAATAAGCAGAAATAAGTCTTGTCTCTTTGACAGCTTAACCCACGCATCCGAGAGCTGGTAGATTGTACGTGGATACCGCCGGGGGATTTGCCAGAGTATCTGTATCTCTATCTTTTTATGTCTAGCTGTGTATGCATGTTGACAGCGCACTTCAACATGCCCTGCCAGAGCGTATATATATACATATATACCCAATCCCATCCACTCCAATCCAAACCCTAAGTGCGCGAATAAGGCGAACTTTTCATTAAACAAACAATTTGCGCTTGCGCATCGGTCTAAGGGAGGGGGGAGGGGAGGTCAGTTTGGCTTGGCTTGGCTTTTTCTGGCAGCTCCATGGCCATAATGCGATTAGAACAGATTACCTGACAATTGTCGCCAGTTGCCAACACAACTCTCAGCTCCGAACACCTGAGGTTGCGACCGTGCGGCATTAGCATAGTTTGTTTATTTAGTTCAAAGATACATATAAATTAATTTAAATATCACCTGGCCATAACTCAGCGACATGTCAGCACTCAAGGCCTGCAAAGCTGCAAAGCTGCAGTTGCAACTGTTCTGTACTGGTACTGGCCAACTTAACTACCTTTTGTCTGACGTCGATTCGGATAGCGATACTCCGATTCTGATTCTGTTTCTGATTCTGCTGGGGCCAATCAAGGTCTCCTTTGTCTATGGGCCTGGGCGCGCCCCGTGTAAGATCTGGTTAAAATGGGATTTATTTAGATCGGTCGTGAGTTCGCCTTAGGCGTTGGCCCGTCCATTCGTTCCATTTATTATACTTCTATACGCGGGGTACGACAATAAGCTGACTGCTGCCTGCTGCCTGCTGGCCAGAGTGCTATCTGATCGCAGCTTTTAATAATGCTTTTGTCGTTCTTAAAACGTAAACTTGATTTTATTATTAGGCGAAGCCACAAGCAAGCACAAGCACCAGCAGCAGCACACACTCACTCGCAAAGGCAAATAAATAAATATGCCACATTCTTGACAGTGGCTTCGACTTGTTCTAATGAATTTTGTTTGAGTTGGCCAGCCACAAAAATCATAAAACTTGTTTTTCTGTTGCCTTTTTTTTTGTGGCCTCGGCCCAAGTTGGATATTTTCAATTTATTACCAAACGCTCTTACTCTCTCTCACACATTTCTGCCATATTATTGTTGCTAATTCGGGTAAGGGTTTTTCAATTTACTGGCTCTGAAAGGGAAATCAAGTCCAATATGCCACTGCCTTTGACAGCGCCGCAAAATGTTTGCTTTAACATTGTCTTTATATCTGATTTTCACAACGCCATCGTAGGCTTTGCTCTGATTTGAATTGATTCGGTTTGGTTTGGCTTATTTTGTTTTGGCATTTGTTTGGCTTCATCTCTTGCTTTTGCTGGAAAATGACCTTTTTGCAGCCTGCTGGAATTTTAATAAATTCGGCATATTTGATTTTTTTGCTCGTCTCTGCCCGTTTGAAATGAGTCAGCTTTGAAGTTATGGCAATTTGGCTGCTCAACATTGCTATAATTTAATTGGAATCAAATTCTTCTGGTGCCAGTGCGTGTCAGTCGACATTGGACGTGTGAATTCCTGGCCATTGGATCGGATCTGTGTTTCCGAGTGAGCAGCATTAGTCATAACGTGTCATGTTCGTGTTCCTCGATAAGAGTTTTCATCGAATCGAGCTGCTGGATACTAATGTATCCTGTTCGTATACAGGTGGAAAGCCCAGAACTTATCATAATTCCCTTTCACCACTCCACCCTCGCACATGCCATATCAGTTTGGTGGCTTTTGTAAATTTGTTTAAAAATAGAATTGCCGGCTAAATGTGTCTATTATGGCGCTGTGGTTTTTCTAAAAATACAATCCACACCTGACAGCCACTTGTCCAGAGCCGGGGCCAAATCCTAATTACTGCCGGGCTCATTGTTTCCATGTCCCGACTTTGACACCGACCGCTTGGTGATCGATAACGAACGCAAAACAAACGCAAAACAAGCCGAAACAAGCCATTTGTGACGTGGATGGGTGCGGGTGCTATTTGGTATAGACCGTCGGACAAATCAGTATTCCAATATATTATATATGGTACATGCTGCGATTCGATATGTTCCATTCTGGACCCCGATCTCCTCTTCTCCCCCCAAGTTTGGCCCAAACAAAAGCGTTTATTGACAGACGCCCCATGTCGGACACGCCAATGAATTATTACCGGCCAAAGCGTTTTGGCCACAAAAAAGCCTTTTGTCCGCATCTCTCTCCGGCATCTGGGAACTCCGATTCTGTCAGAATTGTTGAGCTTGTTTTCTCGGCTTTTGTAGAACGAGATTTAATTAAAATTTACGAGTACGATCAGCAGGAAATTCATTTACTGGAATAACCCGAGTGATCTAATTCGCCCAGCTGCGAGGATGTGGGCTTGTCTAAGGGTAGGAGAATATAATGCTAAATAATCAAAGTTTGTCAAGAGCAAACGAAAAAAATGCAAATTCCGTCCGTTTTTATTGGTCTAAGATGGGCAATATTTATTAGCCTTATTTTGCATTAGCTATTTAGAGAGTTGAAGACCTTTTTAAAGGGAAATTTAGGGGTGGTAAGTTAATGGCCATAAAATAGTTATTATTTTCCATAATTTTTAGAAACTGTTGTGGGAAGGCAGTGTAATAACTAGCTGACATTATTTCAGCCAGTATGTCCGTCCTTTAATGGTCCATAAATGGCCCGTAGCAACTCAATTTATTATGCAATTTTTGCCCAGCAATCACAATTTTTATGGCAATTCGGCTGAGTCATTGGCTGCAGCTGCTGAATCATGTCCTAGGTTTTCCTTGGTACTTGGATTTTAAATCGTATCCAAGCTGGGATTCGGGTGAAGTACACGGCTTCGATATTGCTCTAATAATATGCAGATTACGCAAGGTAATCACCAAGTGCTGAGGCGAAATCAAAATGTTTGCACTGGCAATTAGCGGGCAGGCGAGAAAAGCAAACTGAAATCGCTCATACGCCCCGTTGCTGAACAATTAAAAAACAGAAATTGTAATAACATCGTGACTAGTTAGAACTATGGCGTCGTCGAGCGCTGCCAATACTAATAATGCCCACCGGCCTCCCCTGAGTTCCAAAAGCAAAAAGTACTATTCGGAAAATCCAGTATGAGCTGTTTTATTAATAATAAGCACACAGCGCATAGACATATTCAATGCACCTCCTCGTCCCCCTGGGCACCAACAAACCTAGCTGCTGCATTTAGTTGCTTAATGAAAAACCAGTTTCTCGGAGGTAAAAATTGGTAGCGCATTCGGGCCGAATTAGCATCGCCTACTTCTATGACGCTTTGCGAAAAAAAATAAATAAGAAAAAATAAATAAATAAAACACCCTAGCCTAGAGAGAGAGATATGGCGGTGAAGCCCAGAGCTGGGAGACCGCTTTGATTTTGATCTAGTCATTGTTTGGCCGTTCGTAAAAAGCACACACCCCCCTCGTCCACGGGGGCTCTGGGTTTTTTTCCTTTTCGCAGCTGCCTTCTGTGGCGTCACAGTCGAAGTCGCAACTTGATAAATGAGAAAATCAATGCCACTCCGAGCTTAGTACGCCTCTTGCTCTTGTCTTGTTGGCTTCGATTCGAATCTATACAAATCTTTAAAAGCATCGCCAGCCGTGGATATTCTAAGGTTAAGCTCAGTCCCCAACTCAACCCAATCAGAACCGAATCAGAACCGAAAATTTCAATACTTTGTCAGGTAGGTGCTGCGAGTACGAGTACGAATTAGAAAGGCGTCCGCACATACGCACATATTCGAACTGGAAGCGGGGAAATAAAACTAATTAACTTTCATGGGCGCGATAATTAAGACAGGTGGCCGCGATTTGGCATCTCAGATGGCCGGATAATTAGTGAGGCCCCGGCAAGATGGCGCCATAAGTGTTTTGATTTTCAATTAGCAGCCGATGGCCTGGCCCTCTTATTTTCTTAGTTGTAACCAAAAACTTCAGTTCTTGTGTGCACTGGCAAAAATTGGGTTTAATTGTGTTTGAAAAGCCCTATATTAGAATAATGGCGAAGCGAAACAATCAAATACATATTTAAGGCATATACAATTTTTGTTGTGATTTTTTAAATTTTACTTTTGTAAGTAATAAAAAAAGGAATAATAAAAATATTTTAAATAATTTCTAATTTTTTTATTTGTGGAAATTTTATAGATTTTGTTAACTTTTTATGATATTGGATAAGGTTTCTTTTTAAGCTACACATAATGCTGTTAAAGTTTTATAGCTCTTTAAAAGATTTTTCTTCTGTGAACAAAAATATTATTATTTTTTAATGTGTACTTAAGTTTTGGCCCACTTTTTTTTTCCCGCACAGATGCCGCATAGTCCGCAGCTGAAGGCACATCAGTTCCAGGCCCAGACGCCGCCGGACCAGTACTCTGCCTATGCGGACAACTTTGACCTGTCCTTGCTGCCGCAAGAGTCCGCCCCCATTCCCACCACCGTCTTCCAGTACAACGCCCCCCAGATTAAGGTCGAGTGTGCCTGGGATAGTCAGCCCCTGCAGCAGCAGCCGCAGCAGCAGTCGCAGCAGCCCGCGATTCCTCACCCCACCTCCGGCCACCAGCTGATCCCGCCGCCCGCCTACCCACACAGCGCCTACCCCTCGCCGCAGTCCAGTCCGCTGCAATCGGAGTTCGCGGCCTACGGATTCGGCCGCTACGACAGCCTGAACAGCCCGTCCCCCTCGCTAGAGGCGGTCAGCATCAAGCAGGAGCTGCACATCCTGCCGCCCTCGCCGCCGGAGTCCAACTGCGAGACGCCCTCGCCGCGATCGTCCTGCGGGGAGAGCATCAAGGCAGAGCCCCTGGACGCGGAAATCGAGGGCCTCATCGACCTGAACTCGCTGCTCCAGCAGCAGAGCCTGCAGCAGCAGATACTGCAGCAGGACACCAAGCCCGATCATCAGCTGCTGCGCGAGTGCCTGGAGGACACCAGCTTCCAGAAGCGGCACAACCTGAAGCCACTGGCTCTGGAATCCTTCATCGGCGGCTTGGCCGAGGTGCGCGGGGACTTTGAGCCGGTCATTTCGCTGGCCCTGGAGCATGCCAAACGCGAGGCGGACGCCATCTGCGCCGAGCTGCAGATATCGCAGGGTGAGTTAACATTTCTTAAATCAAATGCAATATAATCAAATATGTATTTCCGATCCAGATCCGAATGGCTGGTCGCCCGCCCAAGTACACGCATGGCTACGATCCACCTTGGCCCAATTCAGACTGCCAGCGGTGGCCGATTTGGAGCTGCACTTCTGCGAAGACGGTGCCGCTCTGACATTACTCAGCGAGGAGGAATTCGTGCGTCGATTGCCTGAGGTAAGTCGAAAAGTCTTTCATAAAGGTGTCACTGAAATACCTTTGCGATTTTCATTTCGTTTGACTTGCAGAAGTCTTGAAAATAATTTCAAGATTTTATTATACAAATAATTGGGAAACCATAAAACTAATATTTAGATTTCTATACTGCTGAACTGGTTTGATTTAATGGAAGCTACTAAATATCAAATAGCTGAAGCCATTTCACCGAAAAAAGTCTTGGGTACTAATCATTAACAACGGGTTTTAAATTATCGAATTGAAGAAATACTTAAAAGCAAGAAATTTGTTAGCTGTTAACTTTATTATTAAATTAATTTTATGTTCAACCACCAAAAGAGAGTGTATTTCGTTATATTTTGAAAAATTATGGCACATAAAAAAATGGTTCTGTTTCAATGGGTACCAGCTATGTGTCCAAATTCCGCGAATCTAAAAGAAACCCACAATTAGCCATTTCAATGACACCTAGACTTTAGCTATGGAATTAGTTGGAAATATAAAAAGCATAAGAAGTGTGAGTCAAACACGTATGACTTAACTGGGCGAGTGCCAAAATAGTTGGGCATATTACGAAATCGATCAGCACAAAGCAACGGGCCAATAGCCCATGGCGCATAAAACAATAACACAATGCAAACGCGAATAGCAATAGCAAAGAGCCAATATGCGAAGAGGCCCAATCAATGCGATTGAATTGAATTTCGCGTGCGGGCCGAAAAGGAATGGAAATGGTTAAAGACAACAAAGAGCAAAACAAAACGAAACGATGCGATACGATACGATACGAAAACTAAAACGAAACAAGTTTCGTAACTGGCGTTGACGTCATGGCTGGCAGCCAGAGCGACTTACAGGCCCAGTCGGAATCAGAAATCAGAAAGCAAAACGCAAAACTTTAAAAGCCAAAGCTCAGTCCTCAAACCCCCAAATCTGTTGCCAGCAATTAGGCAGAGATGGCGGCGTCTAAAACTACTCCACATCCACAACACATCCACATCCACATCACATCCATCCAGCGAACACATGTGCTCTCCGATGTTGTCGAGAGTTTTGCCAAAAATATATCAATGATTAAATTCGCCTAGGCTCGTTGGCTGCTGCTTTTGCTACCAAAAGAGAGTGCAGTGAAAAAGGCCAGAAATCAAAAGACTTAGGCAACGAACGTGAACGCGATCGCGAACGCCAACGAAATCGGAGAGCAGTAAGCAGTAAGTCGCAAAAGAAACAAAATTAGTAACCGTGGTCATGGCTGTAAAGGTGAAAGAATGTGTGAAGGTTGTTTGGTGAAACTGCAGCACTTGGACGGATTATTACGAGCCATCGCCGCAGCTCGGATGACTGCCAGAGGGGCGGAAAAGGGGGCAGGGACGGACTGGCAGCACTGGCAGCAGTCGAACTGAGCCAACGACCAGCAACGACATTGCAAGGTGAAAGTAAGTCGTCGTCGCCGTTGTCTCTGGTTGCCACTACCACTACCACTTCCACCACTACTACTTCGACAACGGCCAATGCAATGCGGTTTGGACCACGGAGACTGCACATAATTTATGCACTTCGATAGCCTAAGAATTCCCAATTGATATGCCGTCTAGATTGCGATCTAGCCAGGATTAAGGCTCTGTGCCCATTCGAAATGTCTCACTTTCGGCTTTCATTTCAGAGTGGGAGCACGCTGCACGCCCAGTTGGAGATTTGGAAGATGGCCTACGCCGACCAGCCCGCTCATCAGCAGAATCCGCAGCAGCAGCAGCAGCATCAGCAGTCGCACCAGTCTGCAAACGGCAATCTCTGGCCAGCCAGCTATGCGATGCCCAATTTGAACCTGGACTACAACGAGGACAGCGAAGGTGAGTTGTGTGGCTAGAAAAGCGAAGGTGATTTGCATAGCGGAGGGAACAGAACATTTTTATTAGGTAGTCGCGACTTAAGGCCATTGTAATTTAAAAGCATTTAATTAATTTTGAAATATTAACCTTTTAAAAAATGTACTCATACGTACCTTTAAAATTCGAAATTTTTAATAGCATAGAAATATTTACCTCTTAAAAAATGTACTTATACATTAACCGTTCGAGCCATCATATCATAAGATTTTAAAGATTTAAAATTTATAAAAGTTTCTTAAAAATATTTTAAAACAAGAAAGAAAGCAAACTTCGGCAAGCCGAAGTTCATATACCCTTGCAGCTATTGCAAGAATTAAATATTTTTGAAAACATTAAAATTATGATTTACTTGCGTATTTAAACCATAATTCTAAAATATTTAACCATTGCTATATGTCGAAGAACTAAACAAAAAATTAAAAAACAGCAAAGTTATAATTTTTTTCAATTATTTTTCCGATTGTTCCTATGGGAGCTATATGCTATAGTCTTCCGATTTTGATGAAATTTTAACCATAATTCTGAAATATTTAACCATTGCTTTATGTCGAAGAACAAAACAAAAAATTAAAAAACAGCAAAGTTATAATTTTTTTTCAATTATTTTTCCGATTGTTCCTATGGGAGCTATATGCTATAGTCGTCCGATTTTGATGAAATTCAAACCATAATTCTGAATTATTTAACCATTGCTATATGTCGAAGAACTAAACAAAAAATTAAAAAACAGCAAAGTTATAATTTTTTTTCAATTATATTTCCGATTGTTCCTATGGGAGCTATATGCTATAGTCGTCCGATCCGGCTCGTTCCGACTTATATACTACCTGCAATAGAAAGACAACTTTTGGGAAAGTTTCATGCAGATAGCTTTAAAACTGAGAGACTAGTTTGCATATAAACGGACGGAAAGACGGACAGACGGACAGACGGACGGACAGACGGACGGACAGACGGACGGACAGACGGACATGGCTAGATCGACTCTACTAGTGATGCTGATCAAGAATATATATACTTTATAGGGTCGGAAACGTCTCCTTCACTGCGTTGCAAACTTCTGACTGAAATTATAATACCCTCTGCAAGGGTATAAATATTAATTTTAATACATATACGGTTTAAACATTTCAAAAAATTTGTAATTTAATTTAAAGCTTTTCAATTTTATTTGCAATTTTTAAATTGAATTGAAAAAAAAATTATTTTAAATTTGTTTAACAGAAATTAAAAAATTTGCCATAAAAATGATTTTGGAATTTGATTTTGGTCTTCAAATTTTTTTAGACACATTATTAATATTAGAGGGTAACAGTAACCAGTCGTGATAAAAAAAATATTACAACAATTTTCTTAGTCTTTAAATGTTTTTGGCTTCTTTAAATGTTTTAAAGATTTTTAGTTACTATGATTTTATTTAATGTTTTGAAATAAATTTTTTTTTTATATTTAAAGGGAAATCTATGAATGTTTAATGTTGTTTTTCATTTGAAAACTAGAAATATTGCTTAAATTGACGTTCAGTGATAAACCAACTTATTTCCTCTTTTTGCAACAGATGATGAAGAAATGGAGACAGAAGCCGCAATTACAACACTTACCACCAGCAGTTCCACCTCGCCGCCTGCAGCCACGCCCACCAACGGCGGTGCAGCCCCGCAGCCGGCAACAAAACGGCCGAACGGAGGACGGACCGGCGGCGGTGGCTCCCACATCCACCTGTGGCAGTTCCTCAAGGAGCTGCTGGCCTCGCCGCAGGTCAATGGAACGGCCATCCGGTGGATCGATCGCAGCAAGGGCATCTTCAAGATCGAGGACTCGGTGCGGGTGGCAAAGTTGTGGGGTCGGCGCAAGAACCGGCCGGCGATGAACTACGACAAGCTGTCCCGCTCCATCCGGCAGTACTACAAGAAGGGCATCATGAAGAAGACGGAGCGGTCACAGCGCCTGGTCTACCAGTTCTGCCATCCCTACAGCCAATAACAGGATGAGCACTGGCCAGTTATTTATTGCTAGTTGTAGTTGACCCCGCTGTCCCACTCCAATCCGATCCGATCCGATCCGATCCGCTGACTATGCTCGACTAGCCTTGTGGGCCTAGCGAGTTCTAGTTGTCCAGTCCATGTACATATCCACTTCCACTCACAATCTTGTTAGGCACGAAGGTAAGTTCGTGCATCGATTAAGTTTGGCTTTAGGTTAAGCTCAAACCTGTGCCCGCTGGCGAAGGTAAGTTCGTCGGGGCAGGGTTTTAAGTGACCCCACATCCCACATCCCAGTTTCACCGCAATCGATCGTAGATGTAACTCTGATCCCGCACTGCAGCATGTTTGTTTAATTCGGCTGCATCTGCGCATGTTTGACTTACCGGCGACATCTTTATTCAACTGCTGCCTGTCCGTGCGAAGGATGACCAACCGCCAGAACGATGTCCTGTGGCTGGAGTTTCGTCTGGAGCTGTGACCGCCATTAGTAGTCCGAGGCGAAATTGGCCAAAAAGTTGCAGCAACCAGAGCTCTCCACAAAAATGGCCACTGGACTAAATCTGGCGGGAGCATCCTTCGTTGGAAGCATGAAGGTGTCGAGGTAATTTTAGGAACCATATATCTATGATATATCAAAAGTAAGTTCTATGAACAACTTAATAAGCGAACAAATGTTAATAGTAGCGTTAAGGACCCTCAATTAGCCATAGGTTTCCTTGAAAGTTTTTTCTCTCTTGCACGCAACAAAAAAGTTAAAAACCTTTCGACTTCGTCCGCATAATGCTATGCTATAACTCACAGCGATATCAATTATTTATTCATTACCAGGTGGCGGTTCAATTTAGACATATTTTGTTTCACTTTATTTCGATTATACGCAATTAGCATAATTCGAGCATAATTTTTCTCTAGTTTCGTTTATGTGACGGGTAGCGAGTTTAAGTTAATTTTAATATTTATTCGCTGGCCCAGCCGAGCGGTGAAATTATGGAAAGTCAATTATTTTTCTGCTATTTGCATTAGCATTAATGCAGGCGCTTTAATTGAATTATGCCACTGCCAATTGGCTGCTTGGCTTATTTTGTTAACCAAATAGAACAGTTACCGTTTATGAAAATATTTATACGTATATTCTTCACCTAATTAGGACATTGCCGGCCTGGCAACTAGTTTAATGCACTTTACACTTTTTACAACACACCAATTATTTATTTATTTATTCAACAAACATATTGTCATGCTACACTATCAGATAATAAAAATCACAGCAAAAAAAAAAAAAAAACAGTTGCCAATTACGGGTGTGTATTTACATTAAATCTGTGCGGGCATTTTTCAGTTGGCAATTGAACAGAAACGGGAACTGAATCTGAATCTGAAACTGAAACCAGTGGTAATTTTGCATCAAGGAGGCTGCTCTTGTGCAGCCAGCAAAACATTTTAGATTGCCCTGTCAGTCGGTCACTGCATTCGTGTGTGACCGATGCAATTTTCAATCAGCGAAAACTATTTTCGGGCCCTGGAAAATCATGGACGTTTTGTAAAGGAGTAGATAACACCAGTTGAAATGCATGCAAAGTGGGGTCCGTATTAAGTTGCTGCCTCAAGTGAAATTAATTAAATAAGCGAAAGCTACTACCCTTGGGTCCCTGGATAATCATCATTGCTCTGGAGAGGATAGATAACACCAATTCAATACTGAAGGAAAATCATAGACGTTTTGTAAAGGAGTAGATAACACCAGTTGAAATGCATGTGAAGTGGGGTCCGTATTAAGTTGGGCCCCTGGAAAATCCTCATTGTTTTGGAGAGGAATAGATAACACCAATTAAATACTTAAGGAATAAGGAATTCAATACTTTGGAAGCGGATTAAGTTGCGGCTTCGACTGTGGTTAACTTGCTGCAGTAATTAATAACATTTTCAGTTAGCGCTAACTATTATTGGGCCCTGCGAAATAATCATTGTTTTGGAGAGGAGTAGATAACACCAAATCAATACATGAGGCAAACGGGGAACCGGATTATCGTGGCCCTGTATTAAGTTGCTGCCTCGACTGGGCTTAATTTGATGCGCCCCAATGAGTCCATCGTCTTTGTTGTGCCACGACCAGGGCCCAAACTCCAGTGCCATCCCCTTCATTTAAATACGAAATCGCATTAAATGCCATCAACTGGAAAATTCCCAAAAGCAATAAATTCATTCCCGCCAGCCGCCAGGACTGCTTTCACTTTCTGAGTGAAAGCTCCGCCCAGTTCCGCGCTCTCGACAATATTTGCATTATGCCGAAGCCGGGACGGCCTGTTCATCCTGAGCCGGCAGCCTTGGCTTTCTCGTTGCCTACTCATCTTGGGATTCAGTCCTCATCCTCGTCATATTTTCAAAATCCCTCCTGCGCTCCTTTCGCCGGCGACAAAAACTACAAAGACAAATATTTAATTGAATTAGTGCAGCTAGCGTTAAGTTGACGCAGACAATGTGCAAGGACACGCCCATTTCAGGGCTTAAATTTGAATTTCGTGTTTGATTCATCAACAGGTTCGTTACCGCTCGAGGGCATAAGATATGCTGCCTTCTCTCCGTGCAACGTAAACGTTATCCCTTCTACATTCTGCTGCTCACTTGGCTAACCATTCTTATGTTAATTTGTCAATTCCAGAAGGCAGAAGGCGTTTACGTCTACATATTTTGATAATTACGCCTTGGCTGTCAATTGACCCAAGCCCTGACCAGTTGGTTAGCCCTTTTTTGAGTCTCGTCCCCTTGGAGCCTGTCAATTTTGCCGTTTAAAAATATCCACTAGGCGTAAAAACCGCCCTCAGTCATAAACGGAGACATTTTGCGCGCATTGTTGAGCTTGGGCTTTTCCACCTCCGCGAACGAAAGGCTGGCAGGCACCTTTAATTAGCATAATTGGTGACATTGAAGCGGGACGCGGACCAGCCATCAAAGCATTATGAATGTGCTCAAAAGCCAAGCCGCAATGGAACAGAAATATTCACTGCTAATTAAATGTCGGGCCTAATCAATTAGCAGCTCAACCCCGTTCTCTGGCCAAAGAAGACCAAACAACTAACGAAGAGATGAGCAGATGGGCAGATGGGCATACCAAAACTGAACAGAAAACGCCTGAGTTAGAGCTTAAATTTTACATTAGACTAATTCAGGACGTAAATTGCCGAGTGTCTGGGCTGCATACGAAAGTCCGGGCCCATTCTCATCCGCAGGTAAGTGAAAATTCAATTTAAATTGATGTCGACTGGTCGAGGCCGTGGCGGGGAGGAAGGTGCATAGTATATGCCATTTAAGTTAAGTACCCTGGCCACATACTCACCCGCTCCGGCTCGCACTCGGGCGTTTTGTGGAAACATAAAATGGCTAACAAGTGGCCGGGCATTTGGGTCCTGTGGCCTCACGGCTGCCCATGACTGCGAAATCAGCGCCGGCAGCCGCCAAAACAGCAACATTTTTAAAAATTCATAAAAAGGCCTTAGTCGGCAGTCGGCAGACAGCGGCAAGTGAGAGAGAGAAAGAGAGAAATAGAGAGTTTTGGGCACCTTTGGCGTTTGGTTGCGGTTGTGCTTTTCCGGGCACCTTCATTTTTCAAGTGTGTTTCAATTTTTGCACTTGCTACCCAAGACCCGCGTCGAAAAACACACCCACCTTCGAAGTAACCGCCTGTCGGTGGTAATGAAATTACAATTTTTATAGGCCAGGCCATGAAAAATAAATGAGACTTAAGCACATTGCCGGGCACTGACTGAACCTAAGCTGTTTGCCGGCCAGGAAGTTCGGACAGGAGATGGCGATCCCTGGCTGGGCGCCACATATTCGTGGGCCATTCAACAAGTCCGGGCCGCCCTTCGAGGCCTACGCATGGATATAAATATCCTGGCTCGAATCCCAGTTCTGATCAAACGAAAACTAAAGTTGAAACCTTTTCTGTTCGGCATTTTGGGGTATATGGGTAAGGTATCTCGACTGTTCTCCAGTTTTGTGAGTGGTATGCGCATTGTCCATACCCTTGCCGCCGAGTCAGAGTTTCAATTAACTTAAACAAGTTTCCAATTGGGAAGGAAAAACGTTATCGGTCGGTCCCTTTTAACAATTTTGCTTTTCCACTCAAATGAAATTTATGCTGCGCGCAAATCGTTGCCTACTTTGAAGCGCAGCGGGTAGAGAACGGAGAACTGAGCACTGAGCACTGAACACTGAACACTGCGACCACATTTAGTTTAGTTAAGTGCATTTGATTTGGCCTCTAAATACCCTCGGGGCGGGTTAACAACATGGAATTGCAATTTATTATCTATCCGTGACAGCCCAGATATGCCGGGGACAATAATCGCATTATGCGGCCAGCTTGGTTCATTACGAACACATAGTTATATTAGTACATATTTGGCCATTGGTCAACTGGGCCAATGACCTCGATTGGCAATTGAATTTCGGCACAACAAATTCCTTTCACGGTCCCTGTCACGTCGCATTGTTGGGCGTTTTTAATTAGTTGTGTCGTCAGTTTCCGATTCGAACTGGCCCCGGCATTGGCATTTAATTTAATCACGCACAGTATACCGTATACCGTATGCCGTACGCTGTATGCCGTCAAATATTTGAGCAGCCAAGGCAGTGGAAATTGCGTATGCGCCATGTGGGCCGGGGACTCAGACCATTGTCTGACGACCTCGGAATCCTGAGGGAGACAATGCCGCTGCTGCCGTCGGCTGGCAAATGTGTTGACGCATTTTACAATACACACTGGGACCTGGTGGAGCATGGAGTGTGCGTAATTATGAATTCCATAATCATTTCGTTAATATGCGCAGCACGCAGGATAAATTGCAGCAAAGGCGAAAGCAAAGGCAAAGGCAAGCAATTCAAGGCCTCTGGAGTCGCAGGCGGGCTGCTCGTTTCATGTGCGCTAATCCGGCGGGGAATTAAAAATAATTTGGGTCGTTTTGGTGTTATGTTCCCCTGTCCCACCCTTCAGCTGCTCCTCTCCCAGGACCTTTATCCTTTCTCCAGCTGCCGCTTGTTGTTTGCCATTTGCCGTTTCCCATTTGCTGGCAGGTGTTTGCCTCGGCTTCCCAGTGCGTGTGTTGATTATGGCTTAATTTTTAGTAATTATATTAACATGATTAAATTTGTTTGTGATTTCGCAGCCCTTGCGGTGTGCCAAAAATTATGGAAAATACCTGGCAAGGGACTATCAAATGGAATTAACCGATATCGGAAATTTAGCTGACGCATAATTAGACCGAGTAATCCAATATTGAATGTTAACTCTGCAGCCGGCATTAGTTTAGTGCGATATTTGGCTTCCGCCAGGCATTCATCCCAATACAATGCAAATGCGCTGTAGCGTAGCCCCGGGAAATTATTTTACTAAAACAAGCAATGTTTCCTGCTGCCTCATGTGTGTTGGTGTGTGTGTGTATGCCATCATGTTTTGGGGTGTGGGCGAGCGTGCTTTGTTATTAATTAAAAACGCACATGTGCAACTCATTAAATGCTCACAATTTGCAAATTCATTTTTATTTTTATTGACTCGCCCATAACGCGTTATTATGGCAAGTAGCTAACGGTTTGTTCTCACCCATTAAGGAACAGCTAGCGGCCAAGTGGCGATGGCAGGCGTTTCGCGGGGAGGGGGTTGCACAAAAAATAAATCTGAAATTATGCAATTAAAATCGCACGTTCCGCAGCCAAAGCGCCCAGAACAAAGGCAACACGAACGGTGGCAATAAAAACAATCACACGCAGAAGCACAATGTTTTCAAAAATGACTATCAATTATCAATTCACTTACCAATAACGAACCAAAAATTTAATATTAACAACAAATGGTTTTAGCAGCATAATTATTAAAAATAAAATCATCATAGAACACTCAAATTTCAATTAAATAAATGGAAAATGCGTTTTCATGCCATTTGAAAGACGACCAGAATTTTTTTTCTAAATATAAGACAATCAATTATAACATTAGTTTAGGTGTTAAATCATTCAATTTTCAGGAAGGGAAACGTAGAGATTTATTTGTAAAAATTATTTACTGTCTTAACTTATTTTTCTAAACATGAAAAATGATTAAATTTTTTTATGATTTCCATATGACATTTTGTAAGTGGCCCATTATAAAATGGTTTTCTGGATACATATATGCCCCGTTCAGCAAAGGCAAACGACGGGGGCAATAAGGTAAAAGCGCTGGGCGGCAAATGGGTTGAAAAGTGTATTAATTCCTTTTAAACGCAAGCTCGCGTGTCAAAGGAGGGGCCCAAATG